TTTTTTTTTTTTTGAGAATGTATAGTCAGAATGAGTTTAAGAAGAATTTTTTTTTTTTTTTAACATAAATTGTGTTAAAAAAATGCTCAAATATCAAATAAAAGCTTTAACAAGTCAATCGACAGTTTCAAAATATTAACAATATGTCTGATAGTGCTTTTAAGTTATTATAAATTATTTGTCTTAGAAATGAATAAAAATTATAAATTTTATAAAATGTGGATAAAAAACTTAAATTATAATTTAAAATTCGTCGAACCTATATTACATGAGGTGGACTTTGATTACTCAGAAGCTTCATTGCTGAGTTCTTCCATAATCGGTTATATGCGTGGTTACAGAAGGTTCCAACGTAATTTTCAAGATAGAAACGGTATATGTGGGTCCACATTGACAAACCCTAACCCATAAAATGGATCTATTTATTGAAAAATAAACTATTATAATAAGAGTAATGTTATTTAATCTCACTTAGATTAAACTTCAGTCTAGGTATAGTTAATATGACATTAAATAATATGTGAAATTAAATAAATCATTTAATTTCTCATTTCATTCAATTTATCATCAAGCACCACTTAAATTAGAATTGTACTTTCAGTGAGGCTAACATAGTATTATTCTTATAATAATCTAATTTTAAATAAAGAGATTATGGTATAATTTTGTTGTAATCTTAAATAACACAATTTTTAAAAAAAAAATAAAAAAAAAAAATTAGAAGAGAGAGCCAGTTGCTAATGGGTCACATGAGTCAAGTGAGCTTAAAAAAGCTACTTATAATTAACGTGATGGACCATGTAAAAGTTTTGCAGCCGCGCCACCCATTTTCTTTACACGTGTCCACCATGTAAAGTCACGTGGCGTGTAAACTACAAGGCATGGAATAATCTACAACTTGCCCATTGGTGTCACGGCCATTTCATTTGCACTACTTTTTAGATTTTCCTTCATTTTTTCAATTTTAGCTTTTTATTGAAAATAATTATTTAAGCTTCTGTTGAAAAAGAATTTAAACGATTTAATTTTTAAAAATAAAATCATGAAGAGTACTTGAGGAATTATTAAAAATATCCCATCCAAGACAAGCACACTCTCAATTGCAAGATAAAGAATACACCATAATTTACAATCCTCTCACCATGAATAAAATAATTGTGGATCTCCTCATTGTGAGGGGGCCGTAAGGATGTACACCTCTTAGAGCTGTACACCAAACAAATCCCATTTTTTCATTATGCAATTGTTCAATTTGAATTTTTAATAATGTTTGGAAAATCATACTAACACACTTTTGTGTTTCAAGCTTTACTACACTAAATTCGATAAGACTATACGAAAGTATAATTTTGCTTTGGACATTGTATCTCTTACCCACTCAAACTTCGAAATGCCACGACTTCAGTGATTTGGAATCTAAAGTGTAGTAATTCAAATGAACATGTAAGATTGTCCCATCAAAGTATTTTTTTAGTTATATTATTTTATATTTCGAGAATATATTATTTTATGTTTCAAGGAAAGGAAATATATTTCGCATTATTGTAATGAACCAGAGTTTTAGATTTGTGAGAAAGTGGGGTTCATGTACTGTTTCCCAATTCAACAACCAGCAGAAGAAGTTGGCTTGTTCGACACGTCTTTTCAGCTATCAAACTCTATAAATTCACCGTATTTCGGCCTTGATTTTTCCTCTTCTCGTTCTCCCATTTTTTTGTCTCAATATTTTGCCTGTTTCTAGGGTTTGTTTAAGCCTGCGGTAGAATTTTCTTTTTTCTCTTTCTTTTCCAATTATTTTCCATTTCTTTTCCCCTTTTTCTTCTTTTGATAGAAATTCTTTGAATGTGGAAAGGACCCTTTTTGTGAGGCGGTGAATCCCATAACTATTCTGGAAAATAATCAGGTATGAAATATGGCTTAAGTTTTTGTTATTTTCTTCACTCCAAACACTCTAGAACAAATAATTACTACAGGAATTAAGCTGAAAAATAATTCATTTTCAGACCTTTCTTCGTTTTCTGAAGATCTGTATATCAAGATATTGCTGATCTTCTTTTCCTTTTTTTTTTTTTTGTTTTGTTTTTATGTCAAAACATGCAAAGTTACGAGTTTTCTTCAGGATTGCTTTCTTGATGGTGTATTCTATGAACCGAATGAATAGCTGTTTCTGGGGTCTCTATTTATTATGTGCATATTTTTGAATTTTCTATGATATCTATAAATGTTTTGTCCGGGTTTTATATTATATATACCTGTGTGGGCTTTCGTGATTTGACAGAAACGTTATTTAGTCTTTATTTGTCGGTTAATTGTGAATTTATGATTTTATCGGTTGCCGTTTAGATGTTGAAATATTGGTTATGTGTCTTAATCAACTTTCGTAGATTGCCGAGGAAAATGGAAATTATTATTAATTTGTGAAGTCATTAGATTGTTGTTTATTATGTGGTTATCAAAGCTTTTAGGATCCCTCTTTGTGCTTCTTCTTAAGTCAAACGGCGTTTCCAGATCCATGGGGCCGGAGCTTTTCAGGGGTCTCTCTTTTTTGGCGTGTGAGGGGGTTGGGTTCGTGGGGGTGGGGTGGCGTAGGGTAGGGTGGCAATAATGAAATTAAAAAATTGTTGGGCCATCTCTATTTTCAGCTGATTTTTCAATAATTTCGATGTATATGGAGTATACAGTATTGTGTTTAAAGTGGTTTTTTTTTTTTTTTTTTTCCCTGTCCCTGAATCTTGATCTGTTCTTTTCTGTTTTCCTTTTTGTTGTTCGAAATATTAATATTGATCTTAAGTTAAATTCATGCAAGGTTGTGGATCTTTTTGTTTTGATTTTAGTTTCTAATGATGAACAGTTCGTATTTCTTAAATATATGTGACTTCCCATGTGTCAATTATGTAAATATCTCTTTCTCTGCGTTGGTGGGTGACCATCAAATTAAATAGGTGTTGGTTGTTGTGGAGTCGTTCCCCTGCCATAACGATATGGAAGCACTTCAATTCGGTGCATTTATGTATATTTTGTTTTCCCAAGATTTGAACTTTGGCCTGCATTGAGTTATTACTGGTGCAATGTGGAAGTCGATAGGTAATATCTACAGGAGACTATGTTATTGGCTTATCGCTTTGGGCATTTAGACATGTTTGATATGTGGTACTCAATACAGATTTATAGAATAATGAATAGTATTTTAATTTCTTTTTTTTCTTAATACTGTTCGACATGGTATACAATTCACCTTATTATACAAGCTNATAGAATAATGAATAGTATTTTAATTTCTTTTTTTTCTTAATACTGTTCGACATGGTATACAATTCACCTTATTATACAAGCTACTAAAAGTTGCTGATCACAGTGCAATTATGAAGATAACATCTGTTTCTTCCCCCTTTAAAGAAGTGATGTAAAAATTTGGTATGAAAATTGAATCCTTCAGGAGAATGAAATGCCTCTTGCTTTGTGCACAAAATTTGCACTGCTGTAATGGTGTAGATGTGATATTGAGGGCGATAGCCAAGTTTTGTTTGAATATCATATTTTGTGTTTGTCTTGAGTTGAAATAGACACACCGAATATTATGGCTCTTGGTGTTCAATTGTTAACATTTGCATATGCTTTGTATTTCAGGAGAAAAGTGATCAGCGTATACTATATCGATTGGTTTGAAGTTTGCAGGCAAAAATGTTCCATTGTATGATATAAATACATTGTAGCTCCGGAGATGAGGTATCATATGTTTTTTATTTTCTTGTAATTGGAAGTTCAACCTCTCGAAATTGTAATTGACAACGAGTTGATGTTTTCTTTATCATCAGATTTTGGAAAGCTTGTGCTTGATGGACTGTTCACCCTGCAGCAATATCGAAAAGACATTAAAGAGGTGGTTTTTCATAGATAAGAGGGTTGGATAAAAAGCTTCTCATTACGTATTCTGAAGTAACGCATCCTCGTTAAGTAGAGTAACACATTTTTTGGTAAAGATTGGTGGAAATTTGTTCGATTTCAATGGACTTAAAGTCGACAAAAGCGTCACCTGTTCTCACTGATCCTTCGCCTATAAACAACTCTATGCTGGGACTCCATTCCAGTCTCTTTCCTTATTCACAATCAGGGCCGTCTTTCTCAATGAGCACGCTATCAATTCCAAGAAGGAAGCCAGGGAAACTGGACGATGTTCGGTCCAATGGGTGGCTTGACGCAATGAAATCTTCCTCACCTCCCCGCAAAAAGGTTCTGAAGGATTTCAACAATGTTGAGCTATCTTTAGATGATGGAGAAATCGCTTATCGCTCTTGGATGGTGCGTTTGGAAACCCTTTAGATTTTCTCCTTCACAATCTTGTTAATAATAATTACAATTATTCTAGTCTTCAAATTTTTATTTTGCAGATCAAATATCCATCGGCCCTCAATTCCTTCCAACTAATAATGGACCGTGCAAAGAATAGGAAGATAGTGATGTTCTTAGATTATGATGGAACTCTTTCTCCTATAGTAGATGACCCTGATCGAGCTTTTATGTCTGCAGATGTAAGCATCTTCTTAGCTCATAATTTTTTTTCTTTTAAGTTTTGAGCATTTTGTTCACATAATGGACCATGCTAATTTCAATTTCAGATGCGCTCTGCTGTTAAAAATGTTGCCAAATATTTCCCAACGGCCATCATCAGTGGGAGAAATCGTGATAAGGTCAATACAGAAAATTTTCCCTTACTGTCTCTCCTAGTTATTTAAGATTATTCATTTTCGTGCTAGTTGTAATATGTCTTATTTTCATTAACTTTATCAGGTTTTTGAGTTGGTAGGACTAACAGAACTCTATTACGCTGGTAGTCATGGTATGGACATCATGTTCCCAGCCAGAGAAACAGCATCCCCAGACCACTTAAATTGTGTGAAATCTACTGACCTGCAGGTATTACACGGCGGCCTAGAGACTTAATAAATTTTTTTCATTTTTGAAAAATAGATTGTGATTGTCTCTCGCTATATCACATAAAAAAAAGTTGCACTTGTCTAATTATCCACTTTTTTCATTTAAAGGGCAAGGAGGTAAATCTTTTCCAGCCTGCAAGCGAGTTTTTACCAATGATCGANTGTCTAATTATCCACTTTTTTCATTTAAAGGGCAAGGAGGTAAATCTTTTCCAGCCTGCAAGCGAGTTTTTACCAATGATCGATGAGGTGTGCGTTTGTTTTCCATTGATGAATTTATATCATTTCTAGGAACAATTGATGACCAGTGAACATCATTAGTAAAGTTTCTTGATTTTTCTTTTTAATCAGGTATTTAGAGCCCTCGTTGAGATCACTAAAGGTATAAAAGGAGCAAAAGTGGAGAACCATAAATTTTGTGCCTCCGTACATTATCGAAATGTTGATGAAATAGTAAGTGTTATTTCCTCCCGATCTCCTTCAATGTCATTGAATGCGTCACATTTCATTTGTCATTAGTTTGGCTAATAACATTTTCCGTACTTTCGCACTTCAACATCAGGTTTGGCCCTTAATTGCACAATACGTTCACGATACCTTGAAAGATTACCCTCGACTACGGTTAACTCATGGACGAAAGGTAATTGTCTCCAATCCTTTTTGAGTACATTCAATATATATATATAATTGAATGGATGAACAAAATACTTATGTGCAGTCTTTGTTCTTCTTCTGTGCATAGGTTTTAGAGGTTCGTCCCATGATCGACTGGGATAAAGGAAAAGCAGTAGAATTTTTGCTTGAATCCCTTGGTCAGTAACTTGGTCTAATTTAAACGTCATAGATTAGCAACAATTCATTTGTTTATTGAACAATGAATCACGATCTTGCAGGATATAGTAACAATAATGATGTGCTTCCAATTTATATAGGAGATGACAGAACTGATGAAGATGCATTCAAGGTGAACACTAATCTAAATTCCGAACAGTTCAGTAATCTCATTTATCGACTTAATAATGTGATTTTCTTCTATATCAGTTATTGAGAAAGGGGAATCGAGGTTATGGGATTCTTGTATCTGGTGTCCCTAAAGAAAGCAATGCTTTCTTCTCTCTCGGGGATACTTCCGAGGTGAGAATTTACATCAATACTATATCAGTAATAATTTCGATTTCTCTTATTTTGTCATAGATTATAATGTAAAGATAAGCCATTTTAATATGTGCAGGTGAAAGAATTCCTTGAATCCCTTGTCAGAATGAAGCAACATGATGCAAAGATACTTGAGATTAGCACAGGGCCATCTGCATATAATACAAATTCATCTTATTTTAATTAGGTTTTTCAGTTAATACAATTTCTACCTAAAGAACTTTTGCAAACTGTAAAGCTTTGTTCTTTACATTTGATGGATTATGGGGGATCTAATTATGATCACTCCCCCTAATTTGTTCTTTCTTTTATTGTGTTAAATTTATTGTCATTGGATTTTGTAGAATGTGTAAATGTTCTATTAGTGCTTCAGTGTGAGGTAATTGTATATTAGTTCACATATTGTGCACATTTAGAGCATATTTGGTATGGAGTAATGACCGGTGCTTCATTGTTGGATACATGTTGATGACCTTGTATTAGACGTTAAGTATATCAGCTTTTACGTTCTAAATCAACATATCATCTACATATGCCTCCATGAATTTTCCTATTAGTGGAGTAAAATTTGTTAACTGAGTCTTTGGTATTGTAGCTTTTGCATTTTTTTCGTATTTTTCATCGTTCAAAGGACGAGTTAATTGTTCCAATTGTCATTCCAATTGTCATTGAATTTACGTCCAAGTTTTTGATTGGTCACTGAAATTTAAAATGTCGAGTTTTGATCACTAAACTTAGGTTCATGTTTTCGATTGTTCACTGAACTTAGGTCCATATTTTCGATTGCTCATTGAAATTTAAAATGTTGAGTTTTGACCACTGAACTTTGACATTTTTCAAAGTTCAACGGTCAAAACTCAACATTTTAAATTTCAGTGAGTAATCGAAAACATGAACTTAAATTCAATGATCAAAACTCGATATTTTAAACTTTTGTGACTAATAAAAAACATGGACCTAAGTTCAATGACAATTGGGACAATTAACTCTTCAAAGGACAGTGTCTTTGCCTTATTGGTACGACTTGTTGGTCAATTCTATTCTTTACTAATGTCATGCTACTTTCTTATAGTCCACTTTTTCGGCAAACTATTACATAAATTTCACTATGTAACGAAGTGATCGTTTCATATGTTTACGTTTTTATGTTTTATTATCACGTATCATAGTACAACATTGCATATAACTAATCAAGAAGACTTGAAACGAAAATTACAAGAATTTTCTCAAGGCTTGAATGCCGCTCTCAAGAATTCATGGGTCGGCTAGTGGGCGAGACAGAATGGGCCGGCACTACTAACCAAACCTAGTTCTCGCCGATTGGCGGTGGTAGTTTGCTTCCAAGCCTCGCCTTATATGATAGTTGTGGGCATGGTCCAAAGGAGCCTTAAGCACTTGTACAATGCTCAAGTCAAGGCTCCTTCAAGAGGAATAATGTGTCTCTATAATCATTGAAGATACTTATGATTAAGACCGTACCCAACTTTTATTATACTTATTCTGGGTATGTATTTATCATATATGTCGTATTTTTGTCATCAAAACACGATAGTTTAAACATTTTATTTTTAGGATTATCAATGAAACCATGTTAATTCTTTAATTAAATAAAATAATAGTTTACATTTTTTTAATTCTTTATTGGATAATTGTTTGTTATTGAATTGTTTTGAGATAATCTAGTTCCTTTTAGGATTGTTCTTGGATTCATGTTGTATCGAGATGTACTTCCTGGCTTAGAGTAATCATGAATGATATTCTAATTTTGTCTTATGTGTTTATCTAATTGCATTCTCCATAGAGTCATAGTGGAAATCTATGACATAGATTGAAATTGAATTATATTATCAAGAGAAAGAAAATTAGCATGCAAGGAACATCGACTGTCAATATAAAACAAGGATTAATTAACAATGTTTAATTGGGATAATCATTAATTTATTACTTGTATACGATATCAACAACAAATATAATCTTTATTAGCTAGTTTAATTTGTGAAATTATTCTAATTGGATAAGTTGTTAATTAGAATTTGGACAAATTTAGTTTGAGTTAATAATTGTAAGCATGTTAAACCTTTTTCATATACTGAAAAGATGTATTTCATAAAACTGATGATCAATGCTTTTAAAGTGATAAAAAAAACCTCTATGATAGTAAATAAAAACTCTTGACGTTTTTATTTTTATTGTATTGCTGGACTGAATTCTTAACTCTGTCTTTTTAGACAAAAATCATATATAAAGATGAACGACACGTAAAAGTCAAAGTTTGAAAACTCTTTAAGTATAAGAAATCCGATTCATTGACATTGAGATCTTGATTATGTAAGAAGACATTGTCGTTGCCAATTCGAATAACTTATCCTGAGTATTAATTGCCATTCTTGAAAAAACAAAATTTGTTTGAGTTCGAGCAGTTTTCACATGGGCTCGAGTTGAATAGCAATACATTATTGTAACCCAACTAAACTATTCCCATTTATGTTGAATTCACTAAACGAAGTGGGTCCTAAATTTGGTGAAAATTGCTGGCAATCATGTGGAGCCTTCACAAAGATGGTGCACAATTCTTTCGTCAAAGGAAAATTACGGTTAGGATCATCAACTTATGCGAGTTAAAGCAAGTAGGTCCCCAAACTTTGATTTATATCAAATCGACTCTTACCCTTAACATAAGTTGGGTTGACATCATATTTTTCTTTTTAATTGCATTAAATGTTCTTAATCTTTACTTATTGTCGCATTTATGTTCTTGCCTTTTTTCGACGTATTTTATCATCTTCTACAATTTAGCAAATATCTTAGTATTTAATAATGGTTTATGTTTTAATATTTTGTTGCAATACTTTGAAATGAGGAATAAGTATTCTGCTGCATTTCTCTATTTATTATTATTCTTTTTATTTATGAGGAACAAATAAGGTTTTTTTTTTTTTTTTTTTAATGGATCTTTTTGAACAGAGTCGGTCATCAGAGACACGTTGTACTAATCTATGAAATGTTGATTACATGAATGTAATAGAATTTTTTTTTTTTGGGGACTTAAGTGCAACAATGAACTAGGATTGAAGACATAAATTTGTTATGTATGTATAAATTGATAATCTTATTTTTAACTTAGTTAATATAAAGAAAATAAATAAACAAAGAAATAAGCAAAAGAACCGAAAATAAAAAAAAATCTTCCCACCCTATTCCCTACCATGGATGGCAACAAGATCAAGGCTGATCTTCTACTATTGTTCTGTCGAGTTTTATGATTTAGGGAGGAAGCAAGACGGAGACCATGTTCCATGTCTTCATCGACGAGGTGGACAATATAGGAAGGGCCAAAGTACTTTCCCATTCCTACCCATTACCCCACCCCATTTCCAACGGTGAAAGAATGGTGGTTTCCACTTGTTCCCTGGCTGCCAATGGTAGGTGAAAAATCGGACAAAAAAATTGATTGAAAACATGATCACTACTTTGATCAAAGATTAAGGATCAAATGTGAAATATACTCTATATGATATGGTAAATGCAGATATGGATATTAACAAATAAACTCTTCGTTTATATTTATTAAGAAAATATTGTCTATAACACTTTAATTTTTCCATAATGGATTTCCGTAATCAGTGCATAAAAAAACTGCACATAATTTCATGAAAAGCTAGAAACCAAAAAATTGGCAATAATCATTAATCAGTACAAGCTTACAACGCATACGCGTTAAATTCATTATGAATAAGTACTGCCCAATGGCTATCACAATCCTCAGCCCCACTTTAGTCACTGTTTGAGTTGCGTTCTTTGGAGAAAAAAAACACATTTTATAAAAATAGTAATTCACAGTCCCACTTTAGGCACCCATTTAAATAACATATTTTTAAATAAAATAATATTACACACAAATTCATAATATTTCTTTATTTTTCAACCCTATATTATTCATCAATCTACTATTTCAAAATATATTTTTTCAAAATAATGTGTCTCAAACACACACTTATGAATAAATAAAAGGAAAAATTGTAGCCAAGTACCAAACCTTTCATTATGGTGCAGACTTGATCTGAACCTTTCATTTGTATCACTCATGGTAACAAATCTTTAAAAAATTTGCACCCGAGGTCTAAATGGATGAAAATCGTTAGTTCATTTGTTAGTTGACCTAAAGTCAATGATTTAACCAAAATTTGACAAATTTTTAAGGAGTAGATGGATAACTTTACATTTTTCAAATAAAAAGAATTAAATCAAAAACCAAAATCAAGAAGTTATCTTCTTCAACCTCCACCCCACCCCAAAATCAAAATCAAGAAACTATAATGAAAGATTTAGTATCGTGGCTGTAATTTTTCCTAAATAAAAATACTCGCATTTATAATATTGTGTTGATGTTTTTCTTTGTTAACAGGTACTGGTATAATTAGATGTTGAATATTAGAGGCGAGAACAATAAAATAGGAGCAAGTCTCACCTCTTCTTCTACTGTTCAAAGCTCGAACTCATATACTTACCGGAAAATGTAATTTTAAACATTGTTTAAGTTCGATTTTATTTATTTAGTATTACCTAAGTCTCTTAGTTTAATTTAATTTAATCTATCAATCAACCGACAAATGCTTTTTTCAGAATCCCTCCAATCATCCACTTCCACTCTGTTCTCTATTCTAGACCAATCCCACAATTTTTAATTACAACCCTGCCTCCGAGGTCCAAACGCCACGAATATATATATGGAGTAAAAAGAGCCGTTTCTTCGAGCTTTCGAAATATATTCACATTACATCTTCTGTCTTTATCTCTCTGCTACTGTTTCTACTTCTCCAATTGATAATGTGACTTAGCAATTACAGGAAAAAAAGTTGTCTTTTTGGAGTTGAACCGTTCTATCCTCAAAATACTCGAACTGAAAATACAAATGGCTTCTTGTAGCTATTTCTTGCTCTTATTCATCCATATTTGCTTCTTGATGGGCTTGTCTTTTTCTGAAGATCCATCTGTTAGCTATGAATTTGAGGTCTCCTATATTACTGCTTCTCCTCTCGGTGTTCCACAGCAGGTACACACACACACACACAAATTTATCCATTTTACTCTTTTCTGAATAGAATCTGTCGATTTTATAACTTTTAGTGATGTGGGTCTGCTTATAATTTACTTGAGATTGATGGGTTTGCTTTATATTGTAAAAAGTTTGAATCTTTAACTGCAGATCTAACAAATGTGTCCTAAAGATTTGAACTTTAGGCTTGAATCACTAAGATTTTTGAACTGCATTGCTCTATAATGCAGGTTATTGCTATAAATGGGAAGTTTCCAGGTCCCACAATTAATGTGACCACTAACAACTATGTTGTTGTCAATGTAAGGAACACGTTAGATGAAGATCTCCTTATGCACTGGTATGGTTTTTGAAGTAAAGATTTTGAAACTGATTTGAAAATGATGGTAACTCTTAAGTGATTATAAAGATTTATGTATTTGATGGGTGAATTAGGTCTGGTATACAACAGAGGAGGAGTTC